TTCCAGTGATGTCACGCAGTAAGTGGCCTTCAGGAGCACGAGACTCTCTATGCTATCACTTTTTGGCCGTTTCTAGTAAAAGTGCTTTGTACCTCATGAAGTTAATGATCGGCAGAGATTATTCCTACATCTATTTGTCTTCACATCAACTGCTTTTGTGTGTATCCATTTAATCATACCACGATGACAGAGAAAATAAAAGTTTACTCTCTAGACTATAAGTGGATTCGAATGCTTGACTCCACCACATACTAACTTTCTAATTCCAGGTAAATAATATAACCCCTTGCTACATCAACTGTATCTGTACAACAGGGATCATAATACCTATCCCTCAAACATACCTTGTTCTGTGTTTAAAAAGTGCTTCACATAAATGCCTGCTACTACTGCTTAATAAACATTAGAATAAATACAGCTATGCTTACAGTAGTAGGTGAGAGTGCTTCAGAAGTATCTGAATTTATTACAGAATATGCAGTACATGGGGACAAACAGTTATTTGAATAGGCATTAGCAGAACACAGAATTACGTAATTTCTTTTTATTAAATCATAGGGAATTTAAAAACTGTTATATGGTTGGACTATAATGAACAAAATGTTTTAGTGTCATAAGTACTTTAATGTTATTCTCCAAGTCAAATAGTAAAACGCTGACTAAGTACAAGAAAAATGAGTAAGACACAAGATTAATCCTGGTAAGACTTCAAGCATATTCTTCAAAATCAATTGTTCTTTCGGTTTGGCTTGAACCAACACTTACTTTCATTAAAAAAAAAAAAGAAAAGAAAGAAAAAACAAACACAAACACAGCCTCTTAAGAAACATAAAAATCTGTTTAACACAGTAACTATACTGACTTCAGAATCTAAATGGGGACCTAAACTAATCTTACTTAGAATCTTACTTAGAAGCTCACTAAGCACCCCATACTGATAAATAATTTTATTTTCCCATTTTGAACTCTGCTTTAAATGTTGATGTGAAAGTCTTTTCACCTCAGCGGCCCCTCGAGTGTTCACTTTGAACAATGACTTTGCAGCTGGCCAAACCAGACTCTCAATCAATTTTTATGAGTACAAATTCTTGAGCTGATGGCTGTATCTCCAGCTATATCACTCGTATAATACACACTCACAAGTGGTGATGAGATTCACATTATCGCCAGAGCACCATTCTGCCGATGGCAGCAGCGGACACAGCAGGGGCATAGTGTCCTCCCTAGAAAAATGACTCCTTCACCTTTCAATAATGCAGCCTGCAGGTATGAACTTACAAGCTGCATGCCAACAGAATGAGAGCTCTCTTTAAAAATACTAATAGAAACTACCCAGTTCCTCCCAATGGGTCACTCTTGCTGAATCTCCATACACATCCATCTTGATTTTGAAATGTGCGCATTCAATTTGTCTTCCCATTACATTTGGAATTGAAAGGAAGATTCAATTGTGTTTAAAACTTGAACAGGTTGCCAGAGTACTGGCATGCTTATTTCAATGCATTTGGGCATGGGATTCTCTACAGGAGCGCATATATATGAGTATTTGTGCAAAATTATAAGGCTTAAATATGACTTCAGATTTTAAGATGGCACCACCAGGTAGAATAAGTCTGAATTCATTACTGTCTGGTGGTGTTTTTTCTAAATTTCAGTTATAGAGTATATGGTTTTAAATTTAAATTTTAATTATGGGCTTAAATTTTTCCCTTTAAAATGTCAAACTTATTTTTGTTACTGGGAGAACTCTCTAGTTTCCCAAAGACATGGTTAATGTCCCTCAAAGACACACCAATTAATGAACTCAAAGTATTCTAATTCTTTCATTTCTAAACTCTTTTACAGGGTTATCAAAGTATATGTTTATTCTGTAACTCTTGATTCTTGTTATCATATGATAGAAAATAAGGTATGCAGAAAAGGATTCCCTCAAACTTTACCTAGCCAAAAGCACGACGCAATCATCTGATCTCTCAAGACTGATCTAATAAAGCCAATTTTCATATGATCAATATAACAGGAACTCTCTTAGCCTGTCACTTAACCAGATCTCCAAACTAATGAACATTCTCTGTTTCATTCTTTAAAATATCCAGTAACTGCACCCTTTGGCATTTACCCAAAGGAATTGAAATCTTATGTCTACACTGCCCAGGACTGTTTACATTTACAGCAACTTTATACATTGTTGACAAAATTTACAAGCAACCAAGATGGTCTTCAATAGGTGAATAAATGAATAAACTGTGATTCTTCCAGACAATGGATTTTTTTTTTTAAAGTAGGCTCCATGCCCAGCATGGAACCCAATGTGGGGCTTGAAATTACAACCCAGAGGTCAAAAACTGAGCTGAGATCAAGAGCTGAGGACACTAACCGACTGAGCTAGCCAGGCACCCGCAGACAATGGAATATTATTTAATACTAAAAAGAAATGAGTTATTAAGCATGTAAAGACATGGAGGAAATTTAAAAGCATATTACTAAGTGACATAAACCAATGTGAAAAGGTTAGATGCTCTATAATTCCAATTATATAACATTCTAGAAAACATCAAACTACGGAGACCATAAAAAGATCAGTGGTTGCCGTGGGGGAGGGGAGGGATGCATGGGCAGAGAACGTAGGGTTATTAGGACAGTGAAAATACATGACATTTCAATGATGGATATAGGCCATTATACGTTTGTCCAAACACGTACACTACACACCACTAAGAGCGAACCACAGCATAAATAACGGGCACTGGATGACGCTGATGTGTCAGTGATGATTCATCCTGGGTAACATATGTATCAAGTGATGATGACAGGGGAGACCATGGCATGTGTGAAGATAGGGGATATATGGAAAATCTTTGTACCTGCCTCTCAATTTTGTTGTGAACCTCAAACTGCTTTGAAAAATAGTTTTTTAAAAAAAGGTAATAATAAAAACCATAATGACTACTAAGTAAATGTTCATGTTTATTTTTTTTAATTTTTAATGCTTTTTATTTATTTCTGAGAGCAAGCGAGCAAGAGAGAGCGAGAGCAAGCAAGCGTGCGAGTGTGAGCAGGGAAGGGTGAGAGAGAGAGGGAGACACAGAATCTGAAACAGGTTCTAGGCTCTAAGCCAGCTGTCAGCACAGAGCCTGATGTGGGGCTCAAGCCCACGAACTGTGAGACCATGACCTGAGCTGAAGTTGGACGCTTAACTGACTGAGCCACCCAGGCGTCCCTAAATGTTCATGCTTATTAAGGGTCAGCTAGGATTGTGCCAGTCATAACAGCTATTAAAAATACAGAATTAAAAAAGATTCTACATAAATACGCTGAGTATGACTATGAAAACAAAGCTACTGTTTCTATGCAAAACCAACTGAGTGCTTTAGAAAGATTTGATAAAGATGAGTTGCTAATATAAACTTGTCAAATTAGATGTGAGACATCTGCAAACAGGAATAGAAGCAAATGTCTAGAAAGATCTGCATTAAAGCTGCTTAGTAAATGCATTTAAATTCTTGTGCCAATGTAAAGAAATTAAACCTGGGAACCAGAGAAGACATCTTATGGGTATGGTTTTTGGAGGACAGACCACTCAGAACTCCAAACTGGAGACCCTTATGCAAAGCAAATGTGTGGGCTTTACATCAGGACCACCGATGTATGCCGTGTACATGCATGCATATCTTTTGTTACAGTAGCTGGCCAAATAGGCTGGCTTTTTGCCATGTAGATATAACTAGTTCTGACTAAATTTTCGTACTCCTCATGCAATTATCCTGCCACTGTGGCCCATCCAACAGTGGACAGATAACCTAACATCTGGAGGACATAAAATGACAGTTTTCCTTGCTTGGCATCTTACCACGTTATTCTGATCTAGTGCATTCAAATTTGCTTAATGTGTGGATAGGAACCAGTAAGATTTTAGGGATTGTTTTATGTTAAGAATACCAAGAATAATTTTTTTATATAGAACCAATGGGAATAAAATAGCTTGGATTCATCATAGAATAGAATGGCCATTACTTAGAAAGTTACTCTTTAATACACATTTAATTTAATGAGTATATTCTAGGAGCAAAGGTTATCCATGATTAAAAACTAACAACAAAAAAGAGTCAGCCAGAACATATATTCCAATAACCCCAAAATATCCGTTATCCTATTGCTAACAAATCTATCAGTACTGGAAATTTAAAGCTATCATTATGTAAGTGATAAAAATGGCAGATTTGTATAAAAATGAGATCTTCTAAGTATTATGGTTTGTCTATAAAATATCAGCATGATGCGGTGGTTCCCAAGGTATGGTTTTGCAATCCTGGAGACTTTTAAGATCTTTTCAGGGAATCTGTGAGTTCAAAACTCTTTTTATAATAATATTCAGACATCATCTGCCTTTTCTGCAGTTATTCTCTGTGTGTACAGTGGAATTTTCCAGAGGCTAAATTTCATCTGATATTGCAACGGATTGAATATAGAAGCTGATATGAAAATACAGCTGCATTCTATTAAGCTAGACATTAAAGAGGTGTAAAAGCATAGAATAATGTCACTCATTGCCCTAAGTTGCTTGCTTCAAAAAAGTTATTTTACATAAAAATGTTACTTGTGTTAGCATGTAAAGAAATTTACTACTTTTATTTTATTTTTTTTTATTTTTTATTTATTTCTAGGAGAGAGAGAGAGACAGCGTGAGCAGGGGAGGATCACAGAGAGAGGGAGTCACAGACTGAAACAGGCTCCAGGCTCTGAGCTGGCAGTCAGCACAGAGCCCGACGCGGGGCTCGAACCCACGAACCGCGAGATCATGACCCAAGTGAAAGTCGGACGCTTAACCGACTAAGCCACCCAGGCGTCCCTACTACTTTTATTTTAAAATGAAATATTTAAAAGTTTCAGTTTTAATTTTTAACACAGTGAATACCAATAGATATAACTCACCAAACAAAAGTTTGAGACTGCTGTCTTAGACCAGTTAGGTAACAGAAAAAAAAAAAAAATTTACTAACCTGAACAAGAACAAAGTAACGTTTTTTCCATCTTTTCCAAACCTTCTGTCCAAGGGCATACAAATATCTGGTAAGAAAAACAAGTAAAGAGTATTTTAGATGAATAATGTTGTGGCTCTGTGTAATCATATTTCTTCCATAGGTATACATTCTGGAGACTGGCCTGCTAAAAGCAAAGTTCAGTTCATTTGAAAAAGGAGACAACACGTAGCTTCTGTGTTACAAAATGACTGAGCTTATTCTAGGTTCTCGAAAGGGAATTGATTTATGTGGCTTAGCAATTTGTCAGTTCTTACTACAAATTGAGCCATGTTGGAGCTAGAAAGGATAATCAAAGAACCAGTGGGATTTTTATTCTTACAACACATTTCTTAGGAGACAAAAGGTGACAAACTGGGGATAGGAGACTCAATGTTTCAGCTCTCAGATGACTGGGGCTGAGGAGTGTGGCCCGAGAAGGAAGCGGCTGTGGAGTCAAGAACAAGAGTGAAGGGTCACTGTCCCGCTGGGTGACCCCAAGTTGTGCTGGCACCAATCTCAGTTTCTGTTTCTTCAAGTATAAATGGCAAGACTGGGTTAGCGGATTCCTAAAGTTGCTGTCAGCCTCATAATTTGGAGGTTTGGCTGATTGATGGTAGTATCTTAACACAAATTTCCTAACTATGAAATTCAGGTGAAGAGGACATGGTGCAATTCAACATAGTTTTAGCCAGGGCCTTTGTTTAACTGTGCATTGCTGTTAACAATGTGAATTGAAATGAATCGAGGAGTCAATCATTTGAGAAAACAACTTTGGTTCTTACTGAATAAATATAGATGTAAACTTATCAAGTTTATCAAGGAGGAAAAAGAAAAAATTAAAAATTACTCAAGTGTAAGCATGCCATGGAGAGCTATTCAAAAATTACACCACGGACAAAAAACCCCTACACGCTGGAACTATATACACACTTCCTATAAAAGGAAGTTTGAAATATGACGAATACAGGCCAACTTTTTAAATTAAAATAAGATTTTTCAATAGTGTATCATAATATTTTTCTGAAGTGAAGGTTCACCACTGTAAAGGCTATTCAAACTAAATTTATATACAATTCTGAGTGATAAAAAAGAACTGCAGTTAAGCGCTTATTTGGGGGCTTAAAGTCTTGAGAGCTTCACAATTTTTAACACTAAAATCTTAACTTGAATTTTTAGTTTCTGTGATATTAAAATAATTCTCTTTTGCCAAACATTTTCGCCCTCTTTTTAAAAAGTAATGCAAGAAATGAATGAACACTCTTCACTTTTGTCCTCTTCCCCCATTTGTCCCACCTCAAGCCCACCACCTTCTAGCAACCACCAATGTGTTCTTTGTAACTAAGAGCTTGATTTCTTGGGTTCTAAATGTTCAGGGAAAAACACACACAAAAAAAACAAAAAAACAAAATGGAGTTACTAAAAGTCAAACTAGAAACTCGGAGTTTGCATTGGAAATCATCATCCATAACTGCTCAAATCAATTATGTATTTTGTGTCAAACCCATCAGCTTTCTAGGTGAACTATTTGCTCTCACAATACCCTTGATACCATGTTGCCTGCACTTCTGGATATAATGTGACTTCATTTAGTGACTGACTGACGGAGACATCTATTGCTACTGTGCTCACCTGTTCACTATCACCTCCTGAGGTCCCTTTGAAACCCTTTGCCCCACCTTTGCTCTAGGCTATAATTTCTCTTCTGTGGTTCTGGTGATAGGTGTTGAGCTGCTCTCTTTCTGTCTTTCCTATGTAATTTCCCTCTCCTTGAAATGCACACACCCAAACCCCTATTACAGGGTTAACAGCAATGACCTCAGGAGCTAGACAGTGTGGACATGACAGATGCCCTCTATAAAAGTGCACCAGCAAGATGTGCACTGAATAGCTGTCTAGGAGTCAAAGAAGACATTCGGAATCACCTTTGCCCGTGAATACTGCCTGCATCTCAGCTCCTTCAGCATCTCACTTAGCATGCTGCTGGGCAACTGGGTCATATCTAAGTGGAAGTGAATAGTGATAAGCAAACCATCAATACCACAAGCAAGTGTAAGTCTTGCTAAGGGTGATACACAAGTAATACTACTACCTGCTGCAACATCACTCAAAATCATGGCTGAACATATAGGGAATGACAATGTAGGATTTCTCTGAAGACAGCAGAGTGGTGGGTGGATACATACATGTGTATACTGCAAGTTGGAAGATGTAAGAAATTGAATAAGAGACAATTTAAGAATGGAAATAAGATAAGCATTTGGCCCATGAGGTATTTTGGGGGTGTTGTCCTGTAAGGAGTTCAGTCAACCATTTACAGATGTCACAGTGATCAGGGGTGCCTGGGTGGCTCAGTCAGTTAAGAGTCTGACTTTGGCTCAGGTCATGATCACACAGTTCGTGGGTTTGAGCCCTGCATCAAGCTCTGTGCTGACGGCTAGCTCAGAGCCTGGAGACTGCTTCAGATTCTGTTATCTCCCTTTCTCTCTGATCCTCTCCTGCTCACGCGCTCGCGCTCTCTCTCTCTCTCTCTCTCTCTCAGAAATAAATAAAACATTAGGGGCGCCTGGGTGGCTTAGTCGGTTAAGCGTCTGACTTTCGCTTAGGTCATGAACTCACGGTTCATGGGTTCGAGCCCCGCGTCGGGCTCTGTGCTGACTGCCAGCTCAGAGCCTGGAGTCTGTTTCAGAGTCCGTATCTCCCTCTCTCTCTGACCCTCCCCTGCTCATGCTGTCTCTCTCTCTCCTAGAATAAAAATATTTAAAAAAAGTTTTAAAAAAGAAATAAATAAAACATTAAAAAAATAAAAAAAAAAAAGAAGTCACAGTGATCAAACATATCTAGAAAGTAGCTGGGCATGAGAGTTTCCCTCTCTGCATAAGAAAATAAATTACATTCAACACAAGACTGACTGCATAAGGGCAATGCTATAAGTGCTACAGAGCAAAATGATAGTTTCTGCCCTTCAGTTTTCACATTAGCCAGACAAAAATTTTACGAAATAAAATGGACATGAATATATCAAAAAAGATAACTATGCTAAATAAGAACACACTAAACTTAACTTCAACAAATGTGAGGTTTTTTATCTACATGATTTCCGGAATTAAATGTCTAGCTGCTTTCTCACTAGCACAAAATTAGATTCTGGGCATAAGAGATAATTAAAATTAAGGAAAGAATGAAGAACAAGATGTTCATCAATTCTGTTTAAAATAAAAAACACAAAACCCTCTAAGGATCAAATGGTAAGGAATAAATTGCCATGAAAATTGACGCCCAAAAAATGATACAGAAAAATTATTACTATGCTAAGTAAAAACAAACAACAGTCACATGAGCTTATAGTATATGCATGGCAAGAAAACCCAGAAAGATGCATCAAAATGTTAAGCCTGCAGTTAATACTGGGCTGGTGAGATTAAAGATTAATTTCATTTTTTTAAAGTTATCTCTACATCCAATTTGGGGCTCAAAGTCACAACGTCAAGGTTAAGATCTGCATTCTAATGAGCCAGCCAGGTGCTCCTTTGTATGGTTCTCTATGCCTTTACATTTCCACAATTTCTACACTGAGCATATCTCCCATATTTTAAAAGTAAGGTTTATTGGTATAGTTTACATAATAGTAAGGTTCATCCATTTTAAGTACTATAATTTGGTGCGTGTTGACATAGCAATGTAACCACCACCACCACAATGGACTAACAGAACATCTGTATCCCTCCAAACCTTCCTTCAGGTCCTTGTATAATCAATCTTCTCCTCACATCCCCCAGCTCTGCAACCACTGACCTGATTTCTAACCTTAACAGTTGTTTTCCAGAATGTCATATAGGAGGGAAAATACAGTATGCACCCTTTCGTGTCTGGTTTCTTTCAGGTGGTAAAAAGCTTTTGAAATTCACCCTGTTGTCTATATTAGGAATTCATTCTTTTCATTGCTGAATTTATTTCACCGTATAAATTAACTTCAATGTGTTTATCCATTTACCAGTTGGTGGACATTTGGATTGCTCTTTTTTTTTCTTAGCTATCAAAAACAAAATTGCTATAAACACACATGAACAGGTCTTTGTGTGGGCCCATATTTTTATTCCTCTCAGGTAAATATCTAGGAGTGGGATTACTGAATTATATTTAAAGTGTGTGCTTAAACCTTCTATGAAACTGCCAAACTGGTTTTCAAAGTGACTGTACAATTTTGTATTACCACTAGCAACGTATATGAGTACATCTTATTTCATAATCAGAAAAAAATACTGTTCTGAAGGATTTGAGGGATATGATCATTATGGAGCCATAAATCGTATTTCTGGTATGACAAAGTTGAATACAGTGACAAAGATCCTTCTCTTTGGTCTATAGGTATCTTGAGTACACTGGAGAACCCCTTCAATAAGCTTTAATAGTTCAATGGTTTTTCAGGTTTCAAGGCTATTCTCAAGTCTGTAGTTTGGTGGTCTTAGCTGTGGAAGGGTTGAATTGTGGAGAGAGTAAGGAAAAAGTTAGCCCAAATCATTTGAATATTCGGTTATAATCATATAATCCATTTTTTAGAAACTTCTGTAAAAACTAATATGCATTCTCTGCTCACTTTTTTTTTTTAATGTTGAGTGATAGGCTACAAATTATCTCATTTGTGGCTAAAAATCCAGTAAGATTGTTTTATTTCAGATAAATATACTAAAGTTACATTTAACATGTTATGCTCTAGTAGGTAGTTAAGATTCAGTTCATTACACTTACATAGTGATGTTTGAGTAATCTTAGTTACTGAAAAATGAGTTGCTCTATACAGAGACTATATCCATAATGGATTTTTAAAGATTTTTGTATACAACAGGTAGACTTGATTTCAAATAGTTATAAAATATAATCTGATCTTTGATGATTTAGAAAAGATACTAGAGCATCTCAGGGTCATTATTATGAACATCAATTATAACTGCATAATTCTGTAAAGAAGGAGGTATAGTTGACAGATCTGAATCTAAGCAATAGTATTAAACAGATCTTTGAAAGCTATTTACCTGTCATCCATTTCCA